TAGGCCCAGTAACAGAGTACTCTGTTATACAGAATAGGGCACAGTCCTGTGCTAAGCAAGCTATCTACGAGGAAGTTTACTTTGGAAAGTGACTTCTCTAAATTCTGACTGCTGTCCCCAACTACTTATGAACCATCAAGGCCTTTGGAGCCTACAGACCACTGGATTTCATGATAAAGATCCCTCCATGCCCAAGCTTCCAGACTGTTGCCTCATACTACTGTTTCATGGCAACTTGATCTTTCCCACACAAATGAAAGTACCTTAAAGGGCAATAGGTGTGTCTTTCACCCATTTGAAACTCTGGACCTAGGTCTATGTGGGGCCCACAGACAATCCTCAATCTGAGCTGGTAATGTCACTACAAATCTGGGATTGAGGAGGAAAAGAAGACAGACACTGGGTCTGTACTGATAACATGGTGCTGCTAAGGTATCCCCTTTAGGTTCTTAATTGAGTTTCACAAGTAGCTTTTCTGGACCTAGCATTGCGCTAGGCATCAAGAATCCAAAATGAGTAAGATAATATAGTTCTTGCTATCAAAGAAGTTCGCAATCTAATGGCAGGGAGTCGGGTTATATTCCAGAGAATAAACTCTTCCCTAAGGCATGCTAGAACCCATACCAAATGGCAGCTTGGGCATATTCTGAACTCATTTTTTGTTCCAGGGCGACTCCAGCAGGAGAAGCCAAGTACTAGAGATACTCCTGCAAGATGCTCTTGTGTTTTCAAACCTCTGGTGGCACATGACTCTTGCACCAGGCTCCTGATCCATTAGTTCACTCCTGGGTTTGTGCTTCTTTTCATCCACTTGCAGGGAAATCTACAGTCTTTCTGAAGTGTAAGAAACTTCCTTCAGCTTGTCTTTATCCACGCCTACTGAAAAATCTCCTCTTGTAACTTGTAACAGCTGTTGAAATTTCAGTGGGGTCTACTATCGCACACGAACACTTACAGTACAAATTTACCTTATCATCCAGCTAGTTCATTAACCTTTTTTTCCCTTTCCTTGAGTGCCATGTTCCAGGGTTAACAGGGTATTAAGCATACCTGGCTAGATTAGAGGTGCCTGGTGGAAGCAGGCCTGCCCTTTCCATGTGTGTAATCAGCAGGCAATTTCAGATCATAAATATAAAACCAGAGACATGCACTTTTGCGTAAGAAACCATTAAGAGCACATAACGAAACACATCCTTCACCTTCCTTTCACCATAGGAAAGAAATGAGGTAGCAAGTTAAGCCATAAGCTTCCAGAAAATAAACACACCATCTAAACTCCAACCTGTGTTGCACAGGACTGTCTAAGGCTGTATTAGAGATGATTTCTGAAAAAAGAAAAAGTATGGGGAAAGGATAAGAAAAACTTGATTATGGGTTTGAGCCTTTTCTTTTTTAATCCTAGACATAAATTCTACTCTTTTCTGCTCTGAAAGGATCTATTTCTCATTGACCTCCTGGATGAGACCAACATTTTTCCTCTGGCGATTGGTTGCCAACATAAACTTTCAGCAGGGGTGAGGAGAGCACTAGCGGCAAACGAAGAAAAAAGAGAGTGACAACTGTGAATATAAACTATTTCTTGCAATTAGATGTATCGAAGTGTGTGTGTGTCAGTGAGAAAGTATATAAATGCAGGGTTACTGGTATGGAGGGGGACATGTAAGAGTTTGGGAACGCATGTATGAGTGAGTGAGAGTGTGGGTCACTAGCAGTATGTGTGAATCAATGTGAATACATGTGGGTCAATGTGATTATCTCAGTGGTAGTTCAGTGTCAACGTGTTCGTGTGACAGTCTGAGTCAGAGTACATGACGGATTACAGGAGAGTGTATGACTTCCTGAACAGGTGTGTCAGTGTAAGTGTATCAATGTAAGTGAGAATGTGGCATGGCAAGTGTGAGTGTGAGTCTATGTTGTCATATGGTATCAGTAATTTCCTGTGTGAAGCACAGTCAACTGACTATTGCAATGTGAACTGTGTATGTCAGTGTGGTATGTGCTAGTGTGAATGCGAGTCAGTGACTGTGCATGTCATTATATGTTCACTGGTGCAAATGTGTGTAGCAATGTGAGGGTGTGTCAGTATGAGAGTAGAAGAGTGGGAATGTATAAGAATGTGAGTGTGCAGTGTGATTGTGCCAGTGTGAAAAGATGTGATGTATGAGTGGGGGATGGTTTGTGAGAGGGTACACATGTGCATGTACACGAATGTGGAGGAGTGCTTGTGTGTCTGTGGGAATAAGGAAATGTATAATTTTGAGTGGGCAGTTCTGAATGTGAAAGTGAGTGAATATGTGAGTGTTAAGTACATGTGCAGTATGTATGTTTATGTGAATTTGTATGAGTACTGAATGTGAATGAACCTATGTATGTGTCAGTCAACGTGAATATACCTGTGTGTGTAAGTGATTGTGCTTGAGTTTGAGAGGGTAGAGTGATGGTTGTCAGTGAAAATGGCTGAGTTTAGAAAAATATGTGTGTATGGTTGTATTTTAGAGTACGTGCCTACAAGTTTGGTATAGAGTGTGATGATGTCTCAGTGTGAAGAAAGTGAGCATGAATGTGAATTTGTGTCAAAATGTGTGTTTCTATGTATGAATATGATTATGTGTGAATGTGTCAGGAGTAGGGAGATTGTTTTAGCTCTGTGTATATGAATGCAAGAGTGTGTAACTCTAAGTGTAAAAGTGCGAGTGGGTGAGATGGTGCTTATGGTGTGAGAAAATATAAACGTGGATATATGAGCATGTATGCATGTTTGTGTCCCTGTGATGAGTTTGTGACTATGAGAAAGAAACAGTGATGATATCAATGCAAGTACACTAGAGTGTATGAAATTGAGTATATGAAGGGCTGTGAGTATAAGAAACAGTTGGAGTGTGTGCAGGGGGAATGTCAATGTATTATTTGCGTATAGAGTATATATGACTATATAGGAATTTGGGCAGGCAAAGGTGATTGTATCCTCTGTGTGAATAAAAGTGTGAAAGTGTATGACTGTGAGTGTGTAAGAATGTAATATTAATAGCATAAAGGTGTGAGTGGCTGTGAACACGAGGGTGGGGTGTATGGTGTGTTGTGTGCATCAATATGAAAATGTGAATATGTGAATGTGAGTTTGTGGCAGTGTGAATGTACCTGAATGTAGCATGTATGTAAATATGATTGTGTGTGAGGGTGAGGGGGTAAGAGTGATCATCATTTTGAATGACTCCAGTATGAAAAGTGAGTGAGCCCAGGGGATAATGTGACTGTGTGAATGTACAAGAGTACAAGAATGTGCTTGTGAGAGTATGTATGTGTGTGTGCATGAACTAAAGATACCAAAATAACTGGATGCTGGGTAACTCTCTCCAGGAAGTCTCTTTCTTCCCAAAGCCACAGCATGTCTTCTGTTACAGGCAAGTTACTTAGCTTCTCTCAACCTCTGTCTCCTCCTTGGTAATACAGTGATGATGATAATACCTAACTTCAGCTAGTATCACTTGTATAATCAGAAACAGCAATAACTATTAGAAAAAAAAAAAAACAAAAAAACCTACTTTGCAAGATTACCATAGGAGCAAATGGTATTATGCCAGTAAAGTGCCTAGCACAGAGCTGGCAACAGTAGACAATAAATACAAGTTATTATTGCATCTGTCACAGAATACCAAAGAGCAATTCAGGGGCTTCTCATTTTAGTCAGTCCTAGTTACCTTCTGTCCATCAAGGTCTAAAGAGGATCCCCTACCAGAACATCGCTAGAAAGCTGAATGCATCAGTATCAACAAGGCTGTAATTTCATACCTTCAATTCCATGGCTGAAACTCTGGAGCTTCCCTTTCATAAGAAGGCATCACAGAAACACCTGCCGCTGAGCTGCAGTTTTACCTTGTCTATAGGCCCATTGTATGTTCAGTGTGAAAGGGAACTACATTGCTTATTCCTTGCTTGTCTTTTTAGTTTGTTTTTCTGGTTGTTTTTTTTTAAAAACATTTGGTTGCTTGTTTTTTTGATTTGGGTAGTAGGAGAGATGCCTCAGCAACTGATAGACAGACAGAAGACCAGACGGAGGGACAGCAAGCTACAAGCAGGTAGCTGGACTGCAGGGAATAGCAACAGAGGCCAGATGGAGAAGCTGACAGAAGAAGTTATAATGCCTGCCTGAAAGGCAGACAAAGAGACAGATAGATGATCAGAGAGACAGGCCATGAAACCGGGAAGAAATGCAGAGGAAGAGAGAGACGCCCAACTTGCAAAGCTGCTGGGCTGCTGGGGAACTGTTGAGCCCTTTTAAGGGAGTCTAGAGATCTGTAAGATCTAGTCCCTGCCCTTGAAGAGCTTACAATCTAGTTTTCTTGGTAAGATGAATACTCCAGAAACCATGCAAGAATTATTGAAGGCAGTAGGGCAGCAAGTGCTACACTGCACGCTACAGACTCAAATGCTGTTGGAGACCTGGTGGAGGAAGTGCATCCTGGTTGGGTGGGAAAGTAGAGGGAAGGTTCGGGAAGGTTTAAACTAAGCCTGACAGGCCCAGAAGCAGGGATGCAAGGGGTGGGGGTACACTTCAAATAGGAAGGTAAAATTAAGTTCAGGGGGCAGTAGAAATCATAGGAACTTATTGGCAAATTTGCAGCATGTGGCTAAAAAGCCACCCAGGCACCAGGAAAGGAGAAAAGGAAATGACAGCTTGATGGGAAGCATGTCTGTGTTACACTGAAGCTCTTAGATGGTGCTTGACATCTGCAAAGGACTTGGCAATGATTGTTATGTTGTTTCTCCTCCTCACCCCAAAATGTAGGTCAAGGCTGTCATTCCCATATTAGAGATGGGAGGGAGGCAAGAGACTAAAGGTAGCTGTACTGGGCAAAATTCGCCAGAACATAGGGCTCATGCCCTGAAGCCTAGCTCACGAGGTCCAGGCAGAGTCTTTGATATTGGGAGATCTGGTGGAAAAGCAGCATTTGCCTGGATTTGGAGATCCCTAACTCCCTGCCCTGGACTCCATTACTCACCTCACACCGCCACGGCTGCAGGACTTCAGCACAGGTGGGCACTGCCCATGAGAAGGGTCCGGGCTGGCTTCAGCTCCTACAGACTCAGTGCTGGGCACACCAGCTGCCACAAGATGCAAGGACTCAGCTGCTCTTTCTTGGGGGAAACCTGCCGAGAGAAGCATTGTAGGGGAGAGGGAACCTCTTTCCCCAACTGCTACTGCTCCCTCATCCAACCCCCACCAAACATCACTCACACAAACACACACACACACACACTCTCTCTCTCTCTCTCTGTCTCTCTCTCTCTCTCTTTCTCAATCTCTCTGGTGAATTTCAGAAAATCCCTTAAGAAAGCTAGAAAATTAGAGCGCTAAGAAGTGTAAAAAGGCATTGTTACATAGGATTACAGAAAGGGCACAGAAGTGGGAGTCAGGAGATGGGAGTTACAAGCTGAGAATTGCTGTTAGTCACCTCATCATTCTGGGCCTGCTTGGTATCAAGTGAAAAGGCCTGCCTTAGTTGCCTTGGATAAGTGTTGGGAGAACTAAATCAAATAAAACAGATGTGAAATATTTACATAATTTGCATAATTATGGAGCAATATGTATAATCACAGGAGGTGGTAGAGCCCAGTGGACAAAAGGAAACGAGACAATGGCCAATGCAAGTTGGCTCCATGAATATGTAAGCTTCCTGATGTTGTGGCACTGAATTCAGTTCAGTTCAGTTCAGTTCAGTTCATCCCTCAACTCTAAGTCTCCACCTCCATTTCCATTCCCCTTTTCACTAACCTTTCACTGGGGAAGGGTAAAAAAAGTCTGTCTGACAGGCAACAATATTCTGAGGTCTCCTAATTTGCTACCATCTCACAGGTGCTAAAGGCCACAGCCTCTGATCCTAATTGGAGCTCCCCTCCACCTTCTCCTATCTCCACCAGGTAAGTCTTCCACTGTCCTCCCCAGGTTTCTTAGGGTGAATATACACTGTTTACTGTTGTTGTTTGGTGATAATTTACCCTATTTTTCCCACAGAGGTTTCCACGTCTAACCATGAAGGAGACTGAGTCTCTTTGAACCCTCCCTTTCTGCCTTTTCCCACAATCATTTGAGCCTCTCAAGGGAGAGGCTGATCTTCTCTGTAGAACCTCAAGCTCTGCAATCCTTCCTACTCTGCTTTCCTTTCCCCTTCCCCCAGTGGTGTTTGTCCTCAAAGAAAAGCAGAAACTACATGCTGATACTCAAGGAGGCATGATTCAGGCTAGCACCTATTTATTAGAGACCAGAATGAACAGGGTCCTAATCCAAAGAGATGGCTAGATGGTTATCTAAACACAAAGATTGCAAAATTGAAGCCTTAGGGAGCCAAGAAAAGCCCCATGATCTCCAATTCCCCCTTCTGGAAAAAAAAAAGTCCAAGCCATACTCTGGGTCTGCCTCTTGTTCTTGGGCAAGACTCCAGAGCATATCTGTCCCCCAGCATCCCTGGCATTCCATGTGTGCTTCCCACACGCGCACTCCAAGCAGCCTTTCCAAATCCCACCCACTGCACCACTGAATGGTGTATTCGCCCCCTCCCTCCCTACGTGAGCTCACCCTGCAAGATCTCACCCTGCAAGAGGGTGGGGTGAGGGGGAGAGGAGTGCGAGCTGCCAAAGCTCCAGAGAGAGGTAGGGCTCAAGGAGGGCACAGGAAGAATGGCCTCAAGAAGCCCCCTGCCCATCTCTGGGGATGAGGGCTGACAGCAGAGGCAGCATCCACCCATTGGGGTGGGAAACAATACTAGAGGATGTAAGAGGAGGAGGACACACCCCCAACCTGTACTACCAAGAATCTCCATGTTTTTGAGCAAGATCAAGAGCTTTCCTGAAGCCTACCTCCACCTCTCCCCAGCCCCAATTGTAGCACCACTTTTTAACTCCATGGTGGCCTGGCTTTATTTCACCACTTGCTCGAGTCAGTGCAGAATCAACTGACAGGACACGGTATTCCATCTGGTAGCCACACTCCTCTCACCTGCCTGGCGGTGTGTTGTGTTGAGAGTAGGGCAAGGGGAGATGTGTGAGCACATGTGCATACTTGGTCATGTGTATCTGTGCAGTTCCCTGTACCATGTTGTATGTCTGTATATGTGTGCTGTGTCATATCTACCATGATATGTATGTATTGAGTCTGCATAATACTGTGTGTGTGTACAGTGTCCTGTTACTATCACGTTGTATACATGATCATGTCAATAAGCTACTGTGTGAGTGCTATGTGTCTGTACTGTGTTGCATGTGAATTGCATCTCTTCTATCCTTTGTGTATGTGCAATGTGTCTAATTCGTATTGTGTCATATCTCTATGCCATGCTGTGTGTCTGCATAGTGTTGTGGGCATTGTGTGCCTCTATCATGTTGTATGTCTATACCGCCTTGTTATGCACCTATGACTCAGCCTCCTGTTGGAGACTAAGGTAGAAATCAGTGCACGCATCTTGCACGTACCCAACACCCATCACCAACCCAACTCCACTCCCAGCCACCTTGCTGCATTCCAACTTCCTGCCAGAATCCCTGTCTGGGGACTAGGGCTGCCATCTTGGTGGTGGGGGTAGGTGGAAGCTACGGACAACTACTCTCTCTACCATAGAGCCTTCCCATGCCAAGTGTCTTGCTCAGCACGGAAGATGTCTAGGAAAGGAGGTTTGGAACCTTTTTCAGGCCCAAAGGAAACAGCACTGGGGAGGAAGTTATGGGGAGCTGACTCCCTCTGTAAATCCCCAGCCCCATCCGTATATGCAAGGAGAAGGACTTGCAGGAAATGGTGGCTGGCTGAGTTTCTCTGTCAGGCTGGTTGGAAGCACTGGGAGCCTTCTCCACAGGGAGTAACCACTGCACAAGGGCACTGGCGATCAGGTTGGGCCCTGAGATGCAGGGGGAGATCTTAAAATTGTTCCCATTGAGGTCACTAGAGGGCACTATTGTGCTGATTGTTAAGGATAGTGTTTCTTTTAAGGTGCTGAATTCCACAAAGTGCCTGGGGCTCAGAGGGAGATATAGGAAGGAAAAGGATATATGACCTAAGCCAGGCCTTTCCTTCACCTTCATACCAAGACTTTCTGTTTTGAGATTGAGTTAGGGAGTAAGGGCCACTAGTGAATATATGCCACTCACCCATCCCCTCAGGTCTGTGAGACCCCCCCGCACAGAACCTTTCAGGGGCTTGGTTATAGGGTCCCTAGCAGATTATTAACTTGGACTTCTCTTTTCCCTCCTGTTCCCCATTCATCTGAAGTAAAAGTAAAGCCACACTGTTGAAAGAGATGAAATATATGTGGTTGTGGGTTGTTTTGTATTGTTTTCCCCAAAACTGGAGGGCATACAAAAAAGAAGGGGTAATTTTTCTGACAGGGAAAGAAGAGGGCTATACTTTAGTGGACCTGTCTTCATTACCAAGAATAAATGGACCACCCTATAGAACAACTACTGCCAACTTCATCGTTTGAAAGACAAGGAAACTGAGGCCTAGAGAGGGGCAAACACACTGTCTGGAACCCCTAAACACAACCGGGGTCCCAAACTGTCACTGTCTGGGACAGTGTGTTTGGGAGTCCCAGACCAGACCCTACCCCTCCAGAACACTTGACTTCTGACTCCCAGGGTTCATTCCACCCCAGTTCCTGGTCCTTTGGCCCCTAAAAATCTTCACTCTCCAAATTCAGCCCCTTCCAAACTCAAAGAAAAACTCTGGCCTCCCTCTCCACCATGTGGGTTCCAAGGCCATCCTATTCCATCTCAGCAATCAGGCCTCTCTGTGACCACACCTTTCTAATGATTTCCTCTTCCCACCAGTAAATTGTTACTCTCTTTCCAGTTTTCAAAGTCCATCTCCCCATTATGTTTCCCAGACTCAGACCCAGCTGTAGCTGCACCGTTTTGCTCCTCATTGCATCCCCTGGGTTTAGCACAGATTGCTCCAACCTGCAGATAATTGACCAAATGTGGAACTCAGACACAGATCTATTGCATTGATTAACATTTCCAATTAAACTCCTGGTTAGGCTGTGTGTATTAGTGACTCAAATAATCACCGCACATGTAAATGCAAATGCCTTCCAAAGCCACGGAGCGCGGTAGGAAGCGACGCATATTTGGGAGGAAATGGCAACAGACTGCCAGACCCGGAGGTTCATTTGGTCCTCCGGTAACCCTAAATGAGATTTTAAATGTGTGGCTGTTAGTTGATCCGAGGCTTAAGCATCACACCTGAAATGGAGGATTCGGGTTCTGCGCGTCGCTGCAGGCCCTTTTCCGCCCCCTGCTGGAGAAGCTGTGTAGTGCCGAGTTGGCAGACGAGTCCACCCCAGGCCCTGCAGAGGGAAACGCCTAGACCCCGGCAGGTGGGGGTGGGGGTGGGGGTGGGGGACGCGTAGCGGAGGCTTAAGTTATGCCCCAGATGCCTAGACTGCTGCACTTACCTTCCAAAGTAAAGGTTTTACACAGTTCCCTGCGCGCACAGGGTCCCCAGGGATCCTGAGAGGGAGGGCTTTTTTTTTTTTTTTTTGAGCAAGGGTCCCAGACCAGGCCCCAACCCACCCATGTAAAAGCAGTCAACCTACCTGTCTAGGCCAGATTGATAGCGCCTCCACTTCCCTTTGGGACACTGTCCTTCCCCACTCCCCTCTCCTTACCCAGGAAGAAAGAGCCAGTTGTTGAGGCTGCTGCTCATTGAGTTTCTTGTTCTCTTGGTTAAAGCTACTGGTTCCTGAAGGTGAGTTGCATGGGTGGGGATGCTGTTGATTTTAAATATCTAGAATCATCCTTCTAATTCTTGGCTGAGCTGCAGCTGCCTCAGCCACCAAAGTTTCCTATCCCACCAGAGAATTCAGGGCTTTTGGGTTCTTGGTAAGGCCATGACTTTTCTTCTCTCTCTCTTTCTAGTTTGCTCCTGCCTTCCTGCCTACTCCATCTGATCTGTAGATCTGATTTTTCTTTTCTTTTTTTTTGCCTTGGCCACATTCTTTAACCTTAATTTAGTAGCTTAGTCTCTGAACACAAATAGCAAAGTCTCTGATGTCAGCACCTCCCCATCCCTGCAGTTCTTTTTATTTCTCGTTTCCCTCACCTGGTATGTCCACTACTCACCCTCTCCCAAGACCTCAGCAAACTTGTATGCTCTATATACCATTTCCACCTCTGACCAGGAAAATCTACAACCTGTGGGAATCGTTAACTAGTCAGAATATCCCTAGGGTCCTGTGTCCCCTAGCTTATAACCCTATTGCATGTGAACCTCCTTTTCCTGTCAGGTCTCTCCTACAAGGCCCACGTGCCTGTCCGGAGGCTTGCAGGGTCAGCTCCTTGACATTCTAAGGTCTCTCTGACCTCAGGATTCTCGGCTGTCAGCTCTTGACCAGGCTACCTCCTAGTCTCTTCCCATTTTGCTTGTTGCATGAGCTGGGGGATATGACACTTGTATCCAGAAACAGAGGCTTACAAATGGCTCTCTCTCCAAGCCTCCGCCTGTTAGTCATTCATTACCATATCAAGCCTTTTTGCCCAAAGTTGCCCCTGATTGGAGGCCTCAAGTACCAAATCACAGATCTTGTCCAATTAAAATTTTGCAAATGGCCCAGTGAAAACCGCACTGACCTTTACACCTCGCTCATCCCAGAACAGGGCCACGGTGTTGTCACCAACAGGAATGGACCTCCTTCTGTTCCAGTACCTCAGACAGCCATACACTTGGCCTGGATTTGAGTCTGCAAAACCATGAGGGGAGCAAGACTAACATGGCTAAAGGCTTCCCTGCTGAAAGCCGTTTTTTAAAAATAGCACTGCAACCGCCCCCATCATGCTTCCCAAAGCCAAGCCACTCACCCTTCTCTCCTTCGCTTCTACAGACCGACGGCCCAGAACCCTCAAGTCTAGAATCTGGAACGGGATTCTGAAAGGTGGGACCAAAAAAAAAAAAAAAAACAAGTGGGGCCTCTATCTCTCTCCTTGCCTGAATCCCCCTCTTCCCACCATCCCCCACCCCACCCCACCCCTTAACCACCACCTAGGGAAGGGAAACTTGCCAGAGCAAGAATCTAAAATGTTCGGTTCACGCAAAAGTGCGGCAATAATCTTGCCAGAGCCAGTTCACAAACTGAGGGCAATGTCCCCCAGCGAGCTAAGGGGAAGAGGGGAGAAGGAGAGACAGTGGACCCAATGACACTGCTCCCCAGACAAAGACAGGGCCAATCCAGGGACCCCGAGCTTTCTGGGGACGTTATTGCATCATTCCAATCCCCACAGGAGAAGAAAAGAGTCCCCCTGTTATTACCATCTCCCCACCAAAAAAGGGGAGGGCGATAAACAAAAATAAAAGAAAGAGGGGAAGGCACCCATTTAAGAAAATCGTCACTTTTTCTCTTTTCTCGTGTGTGTGTGTGTGTGTGTGTGTGTGTGTGTGTGTGTGTGTGTGTGTAGGGGGCGGGGGGTTCTGCCCTGGACTTGGCCAGACCATGGCCACACCCCCTCCCCTTCTCTAGGGAACTGCTGTCACAGCTACCGGGGCTGGGTAGGGGGGCGGGGGGCGAAAGGGAAGACTTACAGGCTGACGTAGCTTTCAAGGCGGGTTTTGCCTCAAGTGGCCCAGGCCCCAGTAAACGAGTCTAGGGTTTGACCAAGCGAAGGAGCCCCGGCCCTCTGGGAACGGCCCTGACACACCCACTTGTCCGCGAACCGGGATCAAGCAAACTGCTCGCTTGGTCTCAGGGCTCCGGGGAGCCACGTAGGAGACTCGAGGCTGGGGCACAAACAGGACAGGAGGGGGGTCCGGAAAGGCAGAACATCTGCCCAGCAGCCTTAAAGCATCATCCAACAGCCACCCCCTCCCCCGCGCTAGCCCGGGTGCAGTTAGTCGCGGGATTTACCTGCCACGGATTCAGCCACCCAGTCAAGACCTTTCCTCTACCTCCGAGAGCTCCAGCTGGCGGGGCTGGGGAGCCGCAGCCCCGCGGCCGAAGCCGCAGCCCCGGGCCCAGCCCGCTCCCCCTGGCTCTTCTCCCGCCCCCGCACACTGGCTCGAGGCGGGGAAAAACTGCAGCCCCCAGTGCGAGATCCCAGACGGTTAGCTGGCACAGCTGCCCGCCCGCGGTAGAGCCCCTGCTCGGCAACCGCTCCCTAGCCGTTCTCTGCTATGACGTCACCCGAGCTCTGCACCTTACCTAGGCCAATCAGATGGTGAGCATAAAACTAAAATCGCCCTGAGTGGGCTACTGGGGACCAATCTTTTGTTTCCAGGCAGGAAGCGCCTGGGAGGGGGAAAAAACTGAAGGGGAGGGAACATGGAGAGGGAAAGGGAGAGGAGATGGAAACTTCTACACTGTCAGGGTTGTCTAGACAGAGGTGGGGCCATCCAAAAAGAGGGGCACCTGACAGGATGGAGAGGAGGGGAGAGTTCATTTATCTTCCTTAATTGCTCCCCTCAGGAAAATTGAGATTTCAGAAGAATTTTCGGGGGACGAAATCTGTCCAGCTACACGGGCACGCTTTATTCGGGGAAAAAATTGTTTCGATTTGGGACACCACCTGTCAGCCAGGCAGGTTAAACTGATGGAATCTCTAAAATACACAGAAAACTAAGAGAGGCAGATGTGGCAGTGGAATTCAAAGAGATGGCAATCTAGATCGGGAAACTACTTTTTTGCATACGAAGTACACACATTCCAAAAAGCACGGAATTATACAAAAAATAAAAATAACTCGGCCGGGCGCGGTGGCTCAAGCCTGTAATCCCAGCACTTTGGGAGGCCGAGACAGGTGGATCACGAGGTCAGGAGATCGAGACCATCCTGGCTAACACGGTGAAACCCCGTCTCTACTAAAAAATACAAAAAACTAGCCGGGCGATGTGGCGGACGCCTGTAGTCCCAGCTACTCGGGAGGCTGAGGCAGGAGAATGGCGTGAACCCGGGAGGCGGAGCTTGCAGTGAGCTGAGATCCGGCCACTGCACTCCAGCCTGGGTGACAGAGCGAGACTCCGTCTCAAAAAAAATAAATAAATAAATAAATAAAAATAAAAATAAAAATAAAAATAACTCTACTTTAAATGGAGTTTAAATGTGATTCTCTCTGTCCATCCTTTCCCTTAAACCTTCAAAGCTTTCTCTTGTCTTTAGGATTCGGTTCAAATTTTTGCAGATGTCCAAAGCTTTCTAAAATCTAACTCCAAAAATAATCTCTTGCTACTCCAAAATCCATACTCCCCATGATTTGGCTAGGTTATGTAAATTATGGTGAATTCCAGCAAGGAGACAGTAAGCTGCCATAAAAAGTCAAATAATACAAAACAACAAGGACATTCAAATTGTAATGATGTAAAATATGCCTACAGAAAACGATCAGAAGAGGACATAAAATTGTAATAGTTGGGTTAAACTAGTAGTATTATGAGTAACTTTTTCTTTCTACTTTCAAATTTATTTTTATAAAGATAAATATATCCTCACATACTTAAATGACCAAAATAGATCGTGACCCTTCCCAGTGAGCTTTTATTCAATTTTCTCTACACTGTATAACATCCAGCAATAATTTCTCCATAATGCCAACAAAATAGGTTCCAAGAACAAGAGTGAACTAATATATCTGCCCAGGTCCTTTTAGTAAAAGTAGTACAAAAGAGCTACAGATGACCAGACGCGGTGGCTCACGCCTATAATCCCAGCACTTTGGGAAGCCCAGGCGGGTGGATCACCTGAGGTCAGGAGTTCAAGACCAGTCTGACCAATATGATGAAACCTTGTCTCTACTAAAAATACAAAAATTAATGGGGCGTGGTGGCATGCGCCTGTAATCCCAGCTACTCGAGAGGCTGAGACAGGAGAATCGCTTGAACCCAGGAGGCGGAGGTTGCAGCAGCGAGCCAAGATCCCGCCACTGCACTCCAGTCTGAACAAGAGCAAAACTCCATCTCCAAAAAAAAAAAAAAAGAGCTACAGATTCGCCAGACATAACATCTCAGCATCTCAGGCAGTTGAAGAATGGGATGCCTCTTTTGGACTAATTCATTTTAAATTGTGATGATATAGGGAATTGAGAAAAACAACAATGATCCACTCTATGGCAAAACAAGAAAGGGGGAGGCAAAGACTAAGTAAACTATATAATTCAGACTATTTTAAGGGTCACTTTGCATTTTATTTTCCTAAATTCAAAATATATGTATTAATGCATATATGAGTATTACATTAACATTGTAGAAAGTGGTAGAGCTGGGATTTATATCTAAATGAGTCCAATGTCCATGCTTTTTCTAATATGATACAGTTTACTACTGCTAAGAATTAAATGTGGTATTACTGGTTTTGTTAAAATACATACTTGCTGTAAAAGAAACAGACTATGTAAGACTGGCATTTTTAAAAAATCAGGCATTTTTAAAAATAGCTTTTTTGGTGTGGTGGTTGTCTTTAATGCAAAAATATCCAACACCCTCACGCTCAAATCCTTGATTAATAGGTTGGAATCAGGATGGTTCTGACTCCAGTGATTTTACAGATATCTTTTTAATTAACTTTGGAGTAAAAAATTAAGCAACCACATCCCATTGATTTTTTTTTTTTTTTTTGCACCATGGTAAAAATAATCTAAAAAAATCACAAATCAAAATGAATGTAATTTATTCAATGTTAACATCTCTGATTTGTAAAATGCATTTATTTGGGTCAAACAAGAACCTTTTTTAAGAAATAGAAAAATATAACTGGATTTTCCTGGCTAATGATTTAACTTGGGTCTTCTAGGCTATTGATTTAAATTGTAATTAGAAGGTGTTCGATTTCACTCTAATCCTCCCATATACCTCAGCTATAACTCAGAGCTATTTATGCAGTCACCACATATGGTTATTTAAACGTTTCATGGGTGTATTTCTTCTCTCCCTAGTGATTATAGAAAGTAGTATGTGGACAAAATCCTATTAGGTGATTGACAAATTAAAGCATAGTAATGTCATAGAAAGAGGACTGGACTTAAGACCCAAGCCTAGGGTCTTCCTGTGAAAGGGTGATAACCTATATTATTCTTAATACAAGAAAGCAGTCTTTACTGTCAACATGGTTTGTTCTCCAAGAATATAGGGCAACTGCATGAGAGATCTCAGGGAAGGGATTCTAATCTGAAATATCTTAAAGATTTCATCTGTGTAATTTTTCCCACTCAACTCACCATTTTTACCACCCAACTCACTGTTCTCTTGCTTGGGAGTTCTTCGATTTAAGGGTATTACAACACTACCATCATAACCACTTGGCATGTGTATCCTACTTCTCAGGTTACAAACCACTTTTGTATCTTCCCATTTGATCCTCACAACAACCATAACAGTTTACTATGACAATTATTATGATCTGCATTTCATAGATGAGAGAATGGAGACTCGAGGGTTTGAAGTTACCTGTCCAATGCTTCACAGAGATGGTCCTGGAAACCAGGTCTCCAACTCTCAGTTCTACGTTTGTTCTGCCACCCTATATGGCCACTTGAGTTGTATTTCTTCTCTGGGTCTCACCAATCCAACTAGCCCCTTGATTCACATGAGAAGTGAGAAGTGCCGGGATGGGGCTTGTAACAACAGAAGTAAACTGAAATGGATATCTTCAAATGTTTCATCCCAATCCTGCATAAAAGGAACATTGCTCACTCTCATATACAGTTGATGGGAGTGTAAATGGCACGACCTTTTGGGAGCACAAGTAGGTAATACTTATGAAATTTTAAAACGCATATGCCACTTGACCCAGCAATTCCAACTCAAGGAATTTGCTTATGAATATATTCATAAAAACATGTCAAGAAATGTTGAAATATGTTATGCTGAATATTATGTAAGAATGAAAAATAATACGTAAAAGGTAGCCTAAATGTCTCTCAGTAAGGGAATTGTTGTTTTTTTAGCCACTTTGTCAAATATGATTGCCGTGTAAAAAGCTGTACATATTTAATGTATACAACTCTATGAGTTTGGGAATAAGTATACACCTGTGAAACTATCACCACCATCCAAGCCATGGACATATCTATCAACTCCCAAAGTTTTCTCCTGCCCAAGTAAGGGAATCATTAAATAAATTATGTGGTAGATACATATTTTGAACTGTTATGCATCAGCTTAAAAAAATCAAGTATATAAACCCCTATGTACTGAAATAGTAACACTCCTTGACCCATTCTTGAGTGAAAAAATGCAGAACAGCACGTGTATTATGATTTTATTTTTGTTTAAAAAATTGGGTGTACATGTGTGTTTTAACTGCTAAAGGGGACACTCTGGGAATAAAAGAGGGTAGGAAAGACATGTGGGTATGTGTATATGATGGGGGACATTAACTCTTTTCTTTAAATACTTCTGTGTTGTTTGTATGTTTTTACCATAAGCATGTACTATATTTTACTTGTAAGAAACATCATTAAAAGGGGAAATAGGAAATACAGTCTTATTTTGGTTAAGACGAAAGCAAGCAAACTACGCCTGCTATCCTGAAAGAGGTCTGAATGCCAGGTCAATGATTCAGGTGTAGCAATCAAGGCTATGGTGTGCCAGACTGAGCTGAGCCATACCTGGGCAGGCACTGAATGCAAGGCAGTAATGAATAACCCACTGGGCAAAAGCAACCCAGATTTCCTTGCTCCCTTCTCATCCTTGCCTCAAGTCCTACAACCAGAAGTTGCTCCCAGTAGTGGACTCTGGGTCTGTGTGGATCTCAGGCTTCACATCTTTTGCTACAGCAGCTGCACTAAAAAAAAAAAAGAAAAAGAAAAAGAAAAAGTCCCCACTCTTTCTCTGAATACAAAAGAACCTGGGGTTTGGCAGCTGATGCACAGCATTGGCTAGGAGCACAGTGCCTACTCCTCCTTCACTCAGGGCCGCTCATTACAGCCTGTTGCCATTACTGCAGTCTGGTACAATGGAGCCCCTTCCTGCCTGCCTCCCCATGTCCATCATTGGGGTCTCAAGCTC